CTCCCATAACTGCCTCCAAATTATTCCATAGGCGTATTAAGCCAATAAAAAATTGCCACTCCGTTCGTACTCCGGCCGGGACGTGCTTGAATAACCTCCACCAGTTGTATCGAATTTGGAATTTAAAAAAAAATAAAATGCTTAAAAAATTCTGTTAACATTTTAAAAATACCGAATATAGCCGTTAAATTGGTGTCTATACGACGTGGACCTACACAGGCATTGTTTGTCATAAGCCATTACCATATTCAAATTCGAAACTTGAAATAAACGGCGAATAATGTAGCTAAAATCAACAAAATATCGTATATAGGGAGGTACCGTTATATCGTAGCTGTGCGAAGACCTGGACCAGCATAAACAATATTCTGTCACAGGCTATAGCATCCATTATGAACTTCAAATACGACATCTCAAACAATTTCGTTGGGTATTGTACCTAAACTCGTTAAAATACCGAAGATAGAGAGGTACTGATATATGGGGCCTATACGAAGACCTGGACCTGCATAGACAATTTTCTGTCACAGACTGTAGTTCCCATTACGAACTCTAAATACGTAATTTGAAACAATTCCGGTGAATAATGATTAGCGTCATTCAAAATACCGAATATTGGAAGGTACCGTTATATGGGGGCTATACGAATTTTCTGTCTAAGGCTGTAGTATCCATTACGAACTCTAAATACCAAATTTGAAAGAATTATGGTGAATAATGTTGCTAAAATTAACAAAATACCGAATATCAGGAGGTACCGTTATATGGGGCAATACGAAGACGTGGACCTGCACAGACAATTTTCTGTCTTAGGCTGTAGCATCCATTGCGAACTTCAAATACCAAATTTGAAACAATTCCGGTTAATAATGTCGCTAAAATCATCAAAATACCGAATTTCGGGGGTACCGTTATATGGAGGCTATACCGAAACGTGGACATACATGACCCATACCAAAAGAACTGCAGAGATAACATACATTTGAGTAAAATTTTATCAATCTACTTCAATTCGTTCGGAAGCCAGAGTGATTTCCAGAGACGGATAGACCGACGGACATCGCTAAATCGACATAGAATTTTATGCTGATAAGGATATATATACTTTGTGGGGTCTAAAATGTATATTTTGAGGTGTTACAAACCGAATGACAAACTTAATATAGCCTCCATACTATGGTGGAGGTTATGACAAGTATGAATACATTTTTATTTATAACATTAACTGCAAAAAATGTTTATAAATTTTATAAAGAAATAACAAAACAATAAATTAAGAAAAACCCTAACAAAAATTAAATTCATTTACATATGTATGTACATATAGCACCGTAAAGAAAGGAGAATTCCCCTTATTTCGATCCCTTATGATCAGTGTTGCCAGAAGTTGTAAAAATGCTAAAAGACAAAAAATATGCTAAATCAGGCACTGCAAATGCAAAAAATAGTAATCCACAATGTAGTTCGGACCGACGCAACTTGGTTTTAGCCAAGTTTCCGTGAATACCAAAATTTTAATAAACAGTCAAAGGATTTTAAATAAATATTTCTAAGTTTAGTGTTAAGACCTCTCACGTTTTGATAAAGAAGAGATAGTGATTTAGTTAGTTTTTTGACAGTGGTACAACTGAAAGATTAGCCGATAAATTAACGGGGTTTGTTCTTTCCCTAAATAGCAAATAAGATCGAGATACTTCCTCCTGGGAAGTATTTTACAGATAAAAACACCATATTAGCAGAGAGACAAAAAAGGAACCGGACTTCCGAAAAAACTCGCTCGAATTTGTCGAAAGAGAGGAACTCTCTCGAGCAAGAGCGCTCTTTGGAGTCGAATTTTTCGATGTCGCTCAAATAGGAGTGAGCCAATTTTCCTTGTTTTTGAGATTCGTTCGTTCAAAATCTAGCAGATTCTACTCTTGTCGAGCACTCTTTTAGTTTTTGTAATGCCGTTTGTTGTATTTCTCTATACGCGTATTTTTTCTGTGCAAGATCACAACCCCTACTTTCCATCCTGCTTGCGATTAAGTTTCGCTCCCGAGTGATAATGAGGAAATATGTGCTCTGACAAGAACAGGCCATACGGCAGACTAGTCTACAGAATGAATCAAGGTGTTCTCCTAGGGTGGAGTGGGAAAATGTGAGTGCTAAACAATGGAGAGCCGCCATCAACATCTTTAAATGTTTTTGTGACAGCCTGAGATTTTTATACAGTCAGCCATATGGCTACTTATACCCTCAGCCATATGGCTAGGGAGGATATATATCATTTGATACGGCCAAAACGTGCCTCATCGAAAAAACGGGTCTAGATCCTAGGTCTCTTTGGACCAAATCCGTTTCAGGACATTTGGAGTTGATCTAGCGAAATTCCTCAGTCCGTTCCCCTGTCTGTCTGTCCGTCTGGCCGGTGCGCATGATAACTCTCGAAGGGAGTATACGATTTGATCCAGGCGATTCGGAGATAGGCAATACCGGTCCAGTCCTTCTGGTACCTCCCCCACAAAGGGTCAAAATTTTGAATATTCATGAAGCTCATAAAACGCGAAGTTAACATCAGATTTCATTCAGACTTAGCACATATCAATATTTCTATCAACACAAGATCTGTTATAACGATGGTAGAGATCGGAACATTTCTTCTGGTACCTCCCCCACATAGGGTTCAGGATTTTGAAAACAAAACGCTCAAAGACAGCGAAATAAGCTTCCATCTCACTTCAAAATTCAGAAGTTCTTTTATCTCTCATAACTTGTGCAACGAGTCGGCGATTCTTTACAACTTGCTATATATAAATATTTCTTTTAACCAAAAATCTGATATGGATATGTTGCTTATCGAATGTTATGATTTCGCATATAATTGGATATAAATGTTCGATTTCCTTCAAATGTTTCACATACCAATATTTTTATCTGTATTAGATGAAGTATGTAAATGGAATACTTCGGTCCGCTATATTTGTTACCTCACGCATATTTCCACACTTTCCAAATGGCTAAATTCAAAATGGCTATATTCCATTCGGCAAATATTGAAATATGAGTTCGAGGTAAAGCCATTGAAATTCAAAAAAGTGCAGGAACTTACACCGCAACAGAAAGGAAAAAGACTCAAAAGAGCTAAAGAGTTGCTTCGCTTGGCCGAAAGTGGTGAACTGCCGAATTTGGTTTTTCCGATGAGAAAACATTCGTTGTCCGGCAGTTTGTAAACAAACAAAATGATCGTGTTTACTTACCAAATAGGTCAGCTGAAAATGCGCACCTTCGGTTGGCCACTAGAACTCAAGCGCCGACCATGGTGATGGTGTGGGCCGTCATAACAGCCGATGGTCTCTCTCCGCTCGTATTAATCGACCGTGGCATCAGAATAAATGCCGAATATTATAGCGAAAATATTCTGGAGGATGTATTTAAGCCTTGGACACGCAAACATTTTGGCCGAAGACCTTGGACATTCCAACAAGGGTCAACACCATCGCACTCAGCACGCGCCACCCAAGATTGGTTACAAAAAGAGGTTCCTCACTTCATTTCCAGCGCACAATGAGTACCAAAATCTCCGGTTACCAATCCGTTGGACTATTGTGTATGGAGTGTTTTAGAAAGCAAGGTTGGCACTAAAAAATACCAAAGCGACGATCACCTCAAGCAAGCGCTTCGCCGGGAATGGGCCAAAATACCACAGAGTAACATTCGGGCAGCGTGTGACGGTTTCATTGGCCGTTTGAAGGCCAAATCTAAACTTACTCTAAAATTTGATGCTATTTCCGACATTCATTCAATAAAATTAAAAAAAAAAAAAATGTAAAAATTATGGCGTTTGACTTTTTTTATCTCACCCTGTAACTTAACTATGAATCGCCTTACAAGCGAACAACGCATGCAAAATTTCGCATTTTTCTAGAACGCTTTGCCATATCGAAATACCCATGGTACAATAAAAAGGTATTGTACCATGGAAATACCTAGATTCAGTTGGGAAAATCTAGTTAAAAGTCACCCATGTTGTTCATTGATAATTTAAAATATTTTCTTTTTCATATTTTTTTGACAAGTTCTTTATTTTTTAATAGCCTACCCATTCACATTTTCATAGAACAAGAATAGAATCCTAGTTGTTGTATACCAAAAATCATTTTTGCTCTCAGTTGCTTCGTTTCTAGACGAATCTGGGCTGTTATTGTGAAGCTCCTCTTTTATTCATTCATAAAATGATATTTCTCATAAAGCAAGGGGTTGAAACATACAATGCCACACAATGACTGGAAAGTTCAAGCGCCGCTACCTTCAAACTATAACAAAGAATTTTCAAGAAACTGCTTTAATTGAGCCAAAAATTGTCCACCCCTTGCCATTTAAAAGTGCAACATGAATGGCACACAATCACATGGCAATTATGTTGTAGAACAATTAATGCACGCTCTCGACAATTAAATACCAGAATTTTCGTTTCGAGTGTAACCCCTCAATTTGTATACAAAAAAAAACTTAATAAAAAATGATGATATATTGACTTAATAGACAATAGGGACAATAGGTTTCTTTTATTGCTGTCAAAAATTGGAGATCTGCCGGCCGGAATGGTATGCTCTTAGCTTATTCCTCTCCCCATTGTGAGAGAAACAAATTCTATACATTATGCAGGAGAACTTACTCTCGCCCTTAAACTCTCTCTCTCTCTCTCTCTCTCTCTCTTTTGTATCCCCAAAACATATGGAAATATAACCGGCATTTGGCAATCACAACAAACGAGGTGATTGGGTCTCTCTCACATATTTGTTTGAGGGAGAGGGCTCCAAAACAATAACAACAACTACTGGCCATGAGCGAAATACTGTTGCTCTTCTGTTAATGAATTCTTGGGGGAGGAAAATAACAGCAAGAATCATGCCATAGTGTACGTGTGTGTGTTGGGGATAGTTGGTGGTGGGTTTTCTGCTTTCGATATCCAACAGGCACACTGTTGGCCCTCAGCTAAGCATAAATACTGGTGTCTACTTTCCAGCCCAGCAACTTGCTGAAAAGCATTGAAACCGTGCACATCATCTCTTTAGCCAAAGAAGAAAAATAAAGCGGACGAAAAAAATTATTCTCCACAATAAAGAAAGAAATAAGAAGTTCTAAAGCAAAAATTTGACAAGTCTATTCAAAGTGAATAAAGCAAAAGCAATTTTTTAAAGAAATGCTTTTAATGAAAAATTTATAAAAAAAAAAACTTACCTGAATTCAGAACATTAAAGACTGCTGTTTAAACAGAGAACAGAAAAAAACTCAACTTGGTGTGATATAATTTAGTTACTGCTCAAAAAAGCCAAATTTTAGAAGAATTTTTTTCCAACAAAAAGAAACAAACAATAAAAAACGAGATCAAAATGAAAGCCAACAACAGTGCGAACAACACAACTTTGGAAGTTGTCTCTCCAAATGTTCAAATCAGCGAAAATTACATTGAAACCGATTACACATATCAGACTTCAAATGTCAAACGTTTGGCCAATGGCAAAATTCAGGTGAGTTTGTGGAACAAAGAATCAATTAATAATGTTAATTAAGAAATGTTTGTTGTAAAAATTATTATTATAATGAGGTGATGCAACAACTAAGAGTGTATTAATGTGGGTACTGTGAAATGTAACGTAAAGGAATTAAATCTACATAATTTTGAAATTTTGGCTTAAATGTGTAGAAAATTTTCTATTTATATTACCTAAACGATAGGAACCATCTAGATTTTCAAATGTGTGAAAAATGATTACTTCACAGCAATCAATCAATACCGCTGGTGGTTACTCATTGATTTAATTCACATTTCATTGTGGAAAAAAATTGAGGCATTATGCTAACAGATTATAAATGGGTATTAAAAGTCTAATGGGGGAAGTCTTAACGAAATGCAGTTTTTTTCAAAGCTTATTTTGGGGGAAATACAAAAAAAAAAAAAAACGGTTTGGAAAAAAATTCCATTGAGGTAGAGAATTTGATTTATCTTTTTTACGTGACATATAATATGAAAACCACTTAGACCTAGTCTAGTTAGAAATTGGATTTCTAAATAAATAATTTTTTTAAGTGCAAATTTGGTGCATATCTAGGACATAGCCTGAATATTTTCGCTCAAACTTTGAAGAGGTGTTTTAAGGCTGCATATTACGACTTTAAATGTCAAAACAGATTAATGATATATGTGTGACATAGTTTCATGTGAAGGTATATTCTCTAAATTTGACACTCTTATATCGGCTATATTGAAATCTATTAGCACCAATTTCCAATTTTCAAAAAATGAGTTAGAGAATCCCACCATAGACAAATGGCCCTCATAATGTTTTGCATATCCAACATGCTGATTTACGTGTTCAAGGAGTTACTTCAAGAAAAAAAATTAAATTTGATTCATCTTAAGTCAATCTTAACGTATTTTATGAAAATTAAACTGCGTGTATTATTCTTCTTCGGAATTCTCACTATTGTTGTTTTCATATCTGCCTTTGGTTCTACTTCTCTGTTCTTTGAGAACAGACAGACAAGTAGGACCAAATACCTATTTTCTATCTCTAAACCTTCCTCTGCTAGCATTTTCTCCAACCATTTTCGAGAAGGTACTGTTCCAACATACTAATTTTTTAATTGTCCCCCCAAGGAAATTTGAGAGTAAAAAAAAAGCTTGAACGACTGCCCAAAATCCGTAGCATGTATGTGTTTCACAAAATTATAATTACGACTTCTACCATAACTGTTTCTTGCTCCTGAATCACTTATTTTTATACTCTACACCACATAGTTGTAAGGGTATTATGTCTTTGTGTATTTGTTTGTAACATGAAGAAGGAAGCGAGTTAGACCCATTGTTGCTTTTGAGGATCTTCATAGAATCACTTTCTGAGTCGGTTTATGCATGTCAGTCCGTCCAAGTATTCTTGTGAACAAAATATAGCTCCCATATATCTTCAACCGATTTCGGGTTAATTGTGCACCAAATGGCCAATATCAGTCCTAAAGTCCTGAATTTTGGTACATACAACCGAATTCATTTTGGAGAAAATCAGTTCAGATATAACTAAAGCTGCCATTTCATCCGATTTGGTGTTTAAGTCTCCCCACATTCGTAATATGCACCCCACAGCCCAGAAATACATCTGGTAAGTTGTATTAAGATCTGTTCAGGTTTGGATATTGTTCCCATATATATCTTCAACCGATTTCGGGTTAATTATGCACCAAATGGCCTGACTGAATTCAGCCTAGAAGAAAGTACATCAAACCAAATGGGTTCAGATATAGCTTTAGCTCCCATATATATGTTTCATCCGATTTGATTTTTAAGTCCCCCACATTCGTAATATGCATTCGACAACAATGATATTTGGTACCAGATATTATATAGAGCTCGGAAATACCTTTGCCAAATTTAATCGATTCCGATTTGGATATAGGTCCCATATACATTTATCCTTAGTCCGACTTCAGGTTTATTACGCAAATAATGACTTATATCAGCCCAAATTGAATAGATTTTTTCATATTCAACTGAATTGTACCCTTTGTTGAATCTCGGTCCGGTATATCTATTGCTGCAACAAATAGTCTTTAATATATTCATTATCGAAGTCATATCAAGCACCATAGCAATGTTATTTGGATCATGGTTGGCATGACCTACTTCACATAAATTCCCAGTATAAACATTTTTCTTACCAAATCTCTACTAAATACGCATTGTGGTGTAGAGTATCATATGGTCGGCCCCGCCCGACTTTTCCTTACTGGTTCTGGTATACAACTGATCGTCTTTTACAAGTCGTTTTTAATTTGGTTTGCTCATGCTTTTATTTACTTCTTTTAAATAAACACTTTTCACAGCCGTCAAATTGTACCGCAAATCTATCCTGTCAGTAGTTCTTGAGAAAACATATATTTCAACTAGCTAGCCTGTAGATCATGAGAGGTCGTATAATTACTACATTTTTAAGCTGATAGTCCACACTTTTGAAATTCTTCCTTTATGATATCGAAAAATTTGCAAAACTAGTAGATTCTTGCAGGTTCTAAACAGAACAATTGCGGACTGCGCATTGGAGATATAATCAGTTTTGTCATGGAATTGAAATTCAGGCCTTTAAATTATTTTCAATCCATTTTAAAATTAAAAAAAAATATCAGTTTAACCAGAACTATCTGTTGCATCTAATTTCGAATAATTCTGACTGGAACCTGGAGTTGGATTCTCGTTTCACGAAAATATAAAAAGTATTTCATTTGAAAATTGTTCATTTGACATTTCCTTTTTAAAATGTTTTTATTTCATTTTGAACAAGAATTGAGCCTCTGCGTTATCTCTTTATCGTACCATGGAAATCGATAATGATGCTCCTGAAAATGCCTAGTTTAAGTCAGCCAGATTTTTTTATAATAATATTTTGTTTTATTTTCCATTTGAAGTGGAATATTTTCAATACACCATGTTTTCCATTTGTCTAAAACTCTCTAATCCAATTAATGTATAGCTCCATAATGCTTATACAAAATATTCCGGCGCGTGCCTCTTCAATATAACAGCTGACAAGTAAGGACCAAAGAATATTCTCGAAAATACGACGGTTTCCCACATGAATTTGTTACAATTCGTAATGGAAATGGCTGTGGTTGGTCCTTCCCCACTCTAAGTTTTGTTGGATTATTTACTCAAAGCTTAACAGCTGTTTTAATACTTAGGAAGGTATTTGTTTCCAGGGTGGTTTTCATTGGTTCACGAACATTCGAAATCATAAACAATTCCTTTGTTCGTTGCCCATAAGACAAAAAAAAAAAAAAAAAGAAAACATGACATAGAACATTCTACAGGCTTCTAAATTCACATGCGCTTTTGAAATAAAAACAAAAAATTAGGGCTTCAAGTTTAACTTGAGAAATTTTACTTTATACCCGAATGTGTTTATTTATATTGAAATGATGGAATGACTAACGTTGAAGAAAAAGCAAACTTAACAAACCTGAAAAAAATTTGCACAAAAAATATTTTTGTGTTTTCAAATCCATTTTATCCAAATAAAAACATGAAACTACATCTGCCATTCCCATAGAAGATTTCGGAAAAAAAAAACGAAAGTAAAAAAAATAAACAAAGGAAACCGGGAATACACAATTTCCACTGGAAATACGGCCACAATCGATTTTTTGCATTATAATAAATTCAAACCATTCCCACTTACGTCTACCCTACGGTAACAGACATGCGTTGTAAGTAGTTTACAATGTTTGGCCTCCTATTTTACGGGGGCATTTCTCTCGCTCTCTCTGTTAATGTCTCCTTCCAATCGAATGCATTACATTTCAATAACAGAGAACTAGACATTGGGAGACCCAATAAAGAGAGAATAACATTACCCACTTCCCCCTTTTACTTTGTTATTGTGCGTGTCGTAGTCTCATTGGAAGGAAATTGGACGCCACTCGTTGTTGGTCTTTGTCAATGGCATGTTTTTGTAGTTCATGTTCAAGGTTACATAATAATTCCGTGTTACTGGGTCTGGGTTGAGGTTGTTAGCGGCTCTATTAACTGCCAGAAATGGCGTCTTTTGTTGTTGTGTTATGTTTTTGTTGTTCCTACAATTGTTTTCACTTGTTGTTAGAGCTTTTGCGATGTGGCAGACACCAAATGAGGACGGGCGTCAATGTAAATAGCCATTAAAATAGAATACTGCATTAATGCATTACATTCGTTGAAGGCGAAAGGGAATCAAGCTAAGAAACTTAAAAATATGTTTTTTTAAAGCTATATAAGCGGAATATTGCATTATTTCTGTGTGTATACATTTTACGAATTTATGACGTTTGCAAGGGTGATGACATGTATTGCACATATGGTGGCCATACAGTGTGAGATAAAACATTTTGAATTTAAAGAGTTCTATCTTCTATCTTGAAATAAATTAAGAAAATCTTTGATGGATAAAAGAACTGTTCCACCGAAAAAATGATGTCGAAACTCCACAAGTGCAAAAATTTGGGGTTGACGATAAAAAACATGTCAAGAAAAAATAATGGAAGGCATTTTCCAAAAATTAAGAATCTATGAATGGGGTTATAATTAGGGAATGTTTGGAATCCGAAAAACTATTCCAAAACATAAGAAAAGCAGCGACATTAGGACGGTGATATTCTACACCACCATACATTGAGGAGAATTTGCCCTATAATACATTGTAAAGTAACTTTTCATATTTTATGTTTTACATTTTATAGCATACTTTACGGAGCTCCCAACAATTATTAAACTCCAAAGTAACAACATAATATTTATACTATATAATATATTAATATACATTTTCATAAAGACCACTTTTGTATGATAGATCTGGCTATCCGGATTTAGCAATAAATCCCAATAATGTGGGTTACTCCGGGTAAAAATTTGTATTTAAACACTCTATTATAGTACGTTTATATATATGAGGGTTTACCCACTGTATTTGGATTTAAATTGTCATATCCATTACTTTTACTTCAAATAAATCCTCTCAAAGTAGGTTAACCCTACAAAAAGTTCTAACGTAAACATGACATTAGAGTCATATGTAAAGCTACTTCTTCTAAATTTATGTTAAGGATTTTATAACATACTTTAAGGCGCTTTGTACATACAGAGTTCCAGTGAAAATAAAATTTTGTATTTTGTTGGTGCTTTATTTAAATTGGTGAATATAGGTTGAGATAATTTGACCGCGACTGTATATTTATGTACATGCATGCATACATGTATACATTCACATGTGTACAAGCAAAACAAATTCATTTCTATTTTTGAATAATATTTTTTTTATTATTAGAATTATTGTGAAATTTTGCAAAAATCGTTCGACGTAAGTGTTGCACCATATAGTTATAGTTACTCCAGCCTGTGACAGAAAATTGTTTATGCAGAACCAGGTCTTCGTATAACGGCTATACTCGGAATTTTTAAGATTTTAGTGGATTTTATTTTTTTTTGAAAATTACCAACTTTGTTCCAAATGGTGGAGTGTATTCAAATCGAATCACTCCCACTATCACCTGAAGATCTCTAAAACACGCCATGGGGTGATAAATTTGTAGTACAGAGTTCATTTAGACCTCGATCAACTAAAATGGATGATGAATTTCATTTTTGTGCCGGCTGCCATTTTAGTTCTCTCTTTTTTATAATATTTCAATAATGATAACAATTTGAAGTGGGTATTTAAAATCGTATATTTTATTTAAAAATTTGACACATATTTTTTTTAAATGAAAGTCAGCAAAAAAGAACGCACACATGGCAACTGAACAAACCGGAATAATATTATCTCAAGAAATTAAATAATATTTAATCACGTGTATTAAAATATAACCTAGTTTTTATTGATTGGTAGGAAAGGTGGGTTTGTCTATTAAAATGGGCAAATTTTAAATAGATAGATAATTAGTTGTGATAAAAATTTGTTAAATTGATAGGGTTACACATGTGGTCTGTTCTACTATTAGTTCTGGTTTTGCTATTTCATTCGATATCACAAAGGGAAAATAAGAGCTTCAAAATTTTGCAAAACAATTTGTATTGTGTCTAGGATGGTTGAAAGTGAGATATATCGATCCACGCCGCCGATATTCGGCATTTTGATAATTTTCGCCGCATTTTTTCACAGATTTGTCTAAAAATATAGCTTCGGTGGCGGAACTTTGAATATATAATACCACATTTTGGTATAGCCCCCACATAATGGTACCTCCGGATATTCAGTATTTTGATGATTTTTGCCACATATTCCACGTATTTATCTAAAAATTAGTATTTGTAGGTCATAGTGGGTTCTAGCCCCGGGTGCGGAACATTGTATGTATAGGTCTTCGATTTTGTTTCGCCCACGAATTTGTCTAAAAATTGGAGCGCGACATTGTATGTATAGGTCCACGTTTTTGTATAGCCCCATATACCGGTACCTCCCGATATTCGGTATTTTGATGCTTTTTGCCACATTTTTCCAGGATTTGTCTTCAAATTGGTATTTGTAGTTCATAATGGGTTCTAGCTGCGGTGGCAGAACATTGAATACATAGATCCACGTTTTTTTATAGCGCACATATAATGATACCCACCGCTATTCGGTATTTTGATAATCCTAGTCACATTTACCCACGAAATTGTTTCAAATTTGGTATTTAAGAAGATTTAGTAGAGGAAAATCCTTGAAGTATTAAATTGTCCATAGAGGTTCCCGTTTTGCTATGACCCCCATATCACGGCCTTACCCACTTTATGTTTTTCTTTGAACAGTTTAACAGCATTATCTAAACGGTCTTACTGGTGTTTGTAGTTTAAAGTGGAACACGTTTGAATTCATATACTTTTAAGTGGAGGGTATTCAAAGTTCGGCCTGGCCGATCTTACTGTTTTTTAACTTGTTTTTTTTTCGTCTGAGTTGCAAAGGTACTCTGTCTGTTTCCAATCCACACATGTAAAGTTAGCCGAAAAAATAGAATTTTTAAAAGAGAAAGAGAGAGCGGGGGAAGTCCCTTCTTTACCGTAAAACTCACTTTTATTTTGCGTAATCTGTTTACGGGCTGTGTTAAGTTAAGGTAATAAACAATTAACTACTTGACCTGAACTATTAACCTTCTTATCAGATTTCGATACCATTTCCAACCATGATTTTGCTAAATCACTTCGGTGGCTGCCCTATAAATCTAAAAAAAATCTTCTCAAAATATTTTAGTTTTGAATTAATCAACACTTTCCTTTGTGTTGAAAATTTACAAAATTGGGTTAAAAAAATCACCGATTCTCCAGTAAAATTGCGTGCGTTTGGAATTTTTCTGTTCGGTTCGATTTTGTTCTTTTTTTTTTGGTTTGTTTGTCAGTCAATCATGGCAGTTCATTAAACTTGGATATGTAAAAAGAGACTATTAATATGTAATATTGCATTGTTGTTCTTGTTAGTTTATATTATAATAAATTAAATCTACTAATTGATCGTTTAATATGTACATAATAAATTGGTGTCAACCCCCCAACTACCGGCAAGAAAAAACACACGATCAAATTCCTCCAATCAAATTCTTCCAGATCAGAAGCTAACCAAAAAAAAAAGTCAACATGTTATACATATTTCAATGAAATTGGTTTCCAGGCACAGAGCAAATACATTTTATTCAAAAAAAAAAAAAAATGTTTCAAATATTCTAATGAAGTGTGGCTACACCTGTTGTGAATATTAAAACAAAAAATAGCAGACGAATTGAATTTTTTTATTTCAGGCACACGAGCAAAGGTAGAGTTTTTTTTTGTTTGTCTTTCTCCACTTGAATTTCAAATTAAATGGGAATGAATAAATATTCTCAACAGCAAACAAAAAATTAGTGCTAAAGTGCAAAAAAAAAAACTTTTTTTGGTTAAATATTTAAACAATTTGTAGTTTGCATTATTCATTATATTGTCGGTAGACCAAAAAAGAACACCAACAACTACTAAGCATAAATAATTGCAATTCATGCTGGCTTCGAATCGATATTATCAGCTATACTCTATATCAGTTTTATGATATTGCTTTTGATTTAGTTTTTTAAAAATATATGTGTGAATATTGTATTTATATATTCCGTCTGCTGAGATAAGCATTCTGCCAAATCGGCCCACCTGAAGAATACTTATTTATATGTCTTGAGTAGATTACCCACCCGCATAGATAGTTAAGTTACGTGCAATTATGCGTATGGCATGACATTCCCCAAAAATGATATGATTACCAAAAAAAGGCAATTATGTTGAGATAATAAATATTTGTATAATTATCTAAAAAAATGTCCATATGGTGTATATCGTTTGGTTTAATAAATGTCAAACGGGTAATTCCCCACAATTTGGTACCTTGACTACCATGTGGAACAAAATGAGTTAAGTTAGATGTTGAATTTGAAACGAAGTTGTTTAAAAAAATATATAATAATTTTAGGGTTTTCAGTTATTTTTATTTAGATTTGCATGTATTTAAAAATGATCAATTAATTTATATTACACACCATGTTAGAGTCATATGTAAAGTGACTATTTCATATTTTACATATTCATAGCATACTTGAAGGAGCTCTCAACAATTATTAAATTAATATATAGGTTATAAAGTACAGCTTTACTTTGAGGATTAAAAATTGTTTAGGGCTCCCTAAAGTATGCTATACAAGTTTACAATATAAAATTGGAAATGTTTGCTTTACATATGACTCTAACATAATGTGTTACCTATATATACAGGGTGAGATAAAAAAACTGCAACAAAGTCAAACGCCATAATGTTTACATTTTTTAATTACATTGAATGAAAGCAAAAAATGCCGGAAATAGCATCGAATTTTAGAATAAGTTTAGATTTGTCTGAATTGGTCACCTTTGGCGTGCGATGGTGCTGAGTCCTGTTGGAATGTCCAAGGTCTGCGGCCAAAATGTGTGTATAGTTGTAAATGTTATTAAATTCGGTAATGGGGAAAATTAGTAGTAGAGTTGAAATCTTGAAACTTAAAATTGAGGTCATTGTTGGTTTCTAGGTTTTACATATGGAGACGTTGAAATATTTTCGGACAGAAAAATGGGATGCGGGTAGATTATGCGATGGTTTTACTAATATTCTCCTCGGTATACTTCAACATTAAACTGACAAGATTGCACTTATGTTAGAGAAAAAAAAAAGAGTGAGAGAGAGCCCCTAAATGCAAGAATGCTCTTGGGAGTGAAAAAAAAAACCAAGAATACTCTATTGTTTTGAACCACTCTTGTTTTCGAGTGGTAATAAAAATAGAGCCGGTTCTACTTTTGTTCCGCTTTCATACCGCTGCTTTGTTCTTTACTTTTTTCTAGAAAAAAAAAAGAAGAAAGAAAACCCGTACTCTTTGATCGCTCCCGCGAATATATATATAACTCTCGACTAAAAACGAGGAAATATGAGCTATGGTTAATACAAAGGAATAGTTTCAAATTTGCTATAATTGCGCCCAAATTTTTGGGAGAAACATATTTATATTGTCCCCTAGGATCTCTTTTAATTTTCAACTATTAACAACTTCCTTTTTCTATCCTTTCAGGTCTTCCCTGAATCGGCCAATTTGAAAATACGCACCGATCGTCGTGTACCCAAATTGGGTTTGATGCTGGTCGGCTGGGGTGGCAATAATGGTTCCACCTTGACGGCCGCCTTGGAGGCCAATCGTCGTCAATTGCAATGGCGTAAACGTACCGGTATTCAAAAAGCCAATTGGTTTGGTTCCATTACCCAGGCCTCTACCGTGTTGGTGGGTTCCGATGAGGAGGGCAAAGATGTCTATGTGCCCATGAACGATTTAGTTCCTATGGTCAATCCTGATGATATTCTGGTCGATGGTTGGGACATTAGTTCGATGAACATTGGCGAAGCCATGAAACGTGCCCAAGTCTTGGATGTACAATTGCAAGATCAGTTGTATGATGACTTGAAGGCATTGACCCCGCGGCCCTCAATTTATGATCCCGACTTTATTGCTGCCAATCAATCAGATCGTGCTGACAATTTGATTAAGGGTACTAAATTGGAACAATTTGAACAAATTCGCCGGGACATTCAAGATTTCAAGGCCAAAAAGAATTTGGATACGGTCATTGTTTTGTGGACAGCCAATACGGAACGTTTTAGTGATGTCAAGCCTGGTCTCAACATGACCATGGAAGAGCTGGAGGCATCGTTGAAGGCTAACAAATCGGAAATTTCGCCATCCACCATTTTCGCCATGGCCAGTATTGCCGAGGGTTGTACCTATATCAATGGTTCGCCCCAGAACACATTTGTACCTGGTCTCATTGAATTGGCCGAACACAATGGCGTTTTCATTGCCGGTGATGATTTCAAATCGGGCCAAACTAAATTGAAATCGGTTTTGGTTGATTTCCTGGTCGGTGCTGGCATTAAACCTGTGTCCATTGTCAGCTACAATCATTTGGGTAACAATGATGGCAAGAATTTGTCGGCTCCCCAGCAATTCAGATCCAAGGAGGTAGGATTATTAAAAAAAAAAAAAACATTTATATCTTCAATGCTAATTGTTTTTGTTTTTTTGCAGATCTCCAAGAGCAATGTTGTTGATGACATGGTTGAATCGAACAGCGTCTTGTATGGACCCAAGGAACATCCCGATCATGTTGTGGTCATTAAATATGTACCCTATGTTGGCGACAGCAAGCGTGCCATGGATGAATATACCTCGGAAATTATGATGGGCGGCCACAATACCTTGGTCATTCACAACACCTGTGAGGATTCTTTGTTGGCCTCTCCCTTAATTTTGGATTTGGTTATTTTGGGTGAATTCTGTTCCCGTATTACCATCAAGGATAACAGCAATCCCTCGGCCGCCTGGGTGCCCTTCAAACCTGTCTTGTCGCTCTTGAGTTATTTGTGCAAGGCTCCCTTGGTGCCACGTGGTTCTCAGGTCGTCAACTCGTTGTTCCGTCAACGTGCCGCCATTGAGAATATTTTGCGTGGTTGCATCGGTTTGGCACCCAACTCGCACATGACCTTGGAACAAAGAGTAAGTAATTAAGTTCTGAAAATTTGAAAATCAAAAAAAAAAATTAAATTAAATTAGTCTGCTCCAGAAATGAAAGAATGTAAATTTCCCTTGCAGGTTCTGGAACAGAGAAAATGCTTTGTTTTCGAAGAGGCACAATAGCCATGAAAGAAAATTTAATTTATCCTTAAACGAAGATTTCTGTCATGACTATTGCTCATTTCCCATGGAATTTCCAAACGTTTTATTGCAGTTTTTTTAAATCATAAAAATCTAAATCCCTCACCTTTTCCTTTCTTTACAGTTCGATTTCTCCAGCATTACCAATGAACCACCCACCAAGAAACTTAAAACTGCTAGCTGTGCCAAAACTGTCGCAAATGGCAAAGTGGAATTGAACGGTCATTCAAATGGTGTCACCAATGGGGTTCACTAAAAGTGAGGCTACAAAGAAAACAAAACACATTTCGTTGATCCCTTTTTTTTAAAACTCTGTGAAGAGCAACAAACAAAATAATTGTGTAACTAATTTTAGTTACAATCTCATTGTTACTACCACCCTCTCTAATGGTCATTTAAATGATTACGGATCATCCAATTAGATTTAACCTTAGTATTTAATTATATGTATGTATATGATTCCCACCCCACCCCAACTATTCCTCGATTAACTACAAGTACCTAGTATTAAGTGAAGCTCTTTCTTGTCTTATTTGTAGACATTTGTATATTGAGAATAGTATTTGCAGATGCCATTACTTTGGAGTGAACAAAATCTTAATTGAATTGAATGTTTAAAATTCGAAAACAAAACCAAAAAACTTAATGGAATCCTTAAGGGATTCCGTAATTTGTTCTTTAAATTCCACCGTTGTTTCTCTGGGAACATATCAAGATACATACAAGTTTGTATTGTCTTCTTATTCCCAGTCAGCAGTACCTCACATAAATAATGTATAATAGAAATTGTATTTAACTTTAACTTGTATTACATTTTATGGTATTTTATTATTTTTTTTCCATAAAAACATATCTATGAATTTTGACGAGTCTTTTTTTTATTTGACAAATAAAACGATACAATTTCGATGTAAAATGCTGTGTTTTTTATTCTACACAATAGAATTACAAGAAAAATAAATATATAACTACTAGCAAATAGCGGTATGAGATATAAATGAGGCCGATCGCAATATTCATGGCCTTATTTTATATCCTATGAAAACTGCGAAATCAAATTGCAGAGCTAATATTTGGAAGGTATACCAATATTTGGACAATTAAGAGGAGCAAGCTTTTGTTAAGAAGAGTTAAAATCTTTACGACGTATGGATTTTGGAACACAGATGCTGAAGCAAATCTATTAGATTTTCTGAAGACCTGTTCAGATTTATATCAAATTTAATATAAATGCTTTATCCAAAGCATAATAATAATGATACTTGGTAAAAGATATCACACAGAAATACCTCTGCCAAATTTGGTATAAATCGATTCAGATTCAAGTATAGTGTAATATTCCCCGAATTCATGTAAATGATGTACCAACCAAGCTAATTAAGTGGAATTTTTTGATTTTGTTATGAAGTTTTGATTAGAATAAAGTCTGCCATGTTTTGACCGAATCGGTTTAGCTATAGCTTCCATAAGACAAAATATGCACTCCATCTAAATACATATTATCTACTAGCAAGATTGATACTACCTGCTACTTCGTCAGAGAAGAGTCCACCTTAACCACTAGAACCCAACAGCGACCTTGATAACAAATCTCAGAATATCATAACCATCAAACACCTAGCGGCACATTTTGTGGCATTTTTGCACTTTTCGTACGTTCGCAGTATATATGTTTCCCAAATGTGGCATCCATATCAAATTTCAGGATTTCTGCCAGGTATTTAAGGTAAGAATACATAAAACGCTTTTTTTGACTGGATTAAGTCAAAGGTTGGCTTCTTTAGAAAAGAACAAAGAAGCGTAAGGCCAAAATCGAACAAAGTCAAACTAAAACTCCTTTGT